GTCCTGGGAGATAAACCTTTGCTTCAGGTCTGACAAACTACTCCTCAGTTTTCAACTTGCCTCCTCCAGGCTAGATTTCTATCTTTCTAAAGTTTTCTGTACTAAAAACCCCCAGGTAACTTGCTTCCCGTCTAATGACTACTTGAGAGGATTCATAGTTACAGAAAATCAATGTTTTAAATGGTATTGAGCAATGCGCTCAGAATCTCAAGGTGACTGGTTCAATCTTCACTGATTAAACATGACACAGTATCATCAAAGTAAGCTGCAAAGTTGTTCTTTGCCTGTTTCCTTATGCCTTTTCAGGCAGGGCATCACATCATTTCAACCAGAAACCTATCCCGAGCTACGAGTCAACAGTGGGAGTTTTGCAGCATCTTCTAAATGAGTGGAAATAACCAAAGCTGCTGTGGGTCTGAGGTTCAACTATAAGGGGTAAAATATTTACAAACCAGTGAAAGGGCCTTAATATTGGAAGAAATATATTTGAAAGTATTACACACATTATAAGAGACAGAGAATATCCACCTACTAAGCTACAAAGCTTTGTGATATTTTCCTGCAATCCATTTACTACAGCTAAACCAGAAAGTCTGAAGACAGAAGCCAGGACTCCCTCTGTTAGGGAGGGCCATTGCATTAGCTTCTGGAGTCACAGTGCTTCCCACTCTGCCTTGCTGTCTGTCTGGCCCAATATTTTGTCCTCCCCTGTGCAATGAATACTTTCACATAGTTTTTGCAGGATGCTAGGATGCTTTTTAGAAGATGTGAGTAGAAAACGTCAACCCCTTCAGCCAGAGAAAGTACGGATTACCTTGGGTTTTCCAGACCCTTGCCATTAAAGAATAGCATGTGATGACATCTTCTTCACTTCCTTTCTGGTCATTACTCAGAAGACATCTCTAAACCTCATTCAGTCATTTCTCAGAAATTGTATTAGTGCATATTCTCAAAAGTGTTGATCTCCAGATGCCAAGTAGATACAAGTCTCTTCATACACCTTTCCCTCTGGTGGATTTTTGGACTCTCACTCTGAAGCACTACTTTTCACTGGCAGAGGATTCCAGATTTTCCTCCAAGGGTATAAATGCTAAGGACTCAAGAACCTGGACATTTTATCTATTTCTCCGAGTCTGAAGCATCAAAATCATCTCTAGGCAATTTCCCCAAGGAATTATGTCTGCTTTTAAGTTATTATGGTTTTCAGTGATTGTAATGACTATTTAAATGCAAAAATACCTCTTCAAATAGAAATGACAGGCTGTCAAGTTCACTGGTGATAAATGGTATTTTGAAAATCCAACACAAAAGCAATTACAATCATAGGACAAACTTTTGGTACTCATACTGCTGAGTTTTGCGGTTACAACATGCCTCAAATGCCTCAGGTAAAGAATTCAGTTTCTCAACATAGAAAACTTGCGTGATAAAATGAAGAAAGCTTAAATTACATCCTACAGCTTTATTGAAAGTAATGCCTATAACCTTCAAAAGCTCTGAGCATGTGTTGTACATCTCCAGCTTTGAAAAGGTCAAACTTCTTTTCATTCTTCTCTCTTATTTACCATTGCTTTCTATTCAGTAGGTAAACATAATGCTTGTAAAAGAAAACATAACAGAAGAAGCTTCAGCAAGACATAATGTTGAACTTCTGAACCTTGTGCTCTCAGGAATAGGTATCAGGACTGGGGCAAGTTTACCCAAGCTACTCTACCCATGTATTTATTGACCTTTAATCCTGGAAGATTTCCTCACAGAAAGGTTGGCAAGGGTAGATGGTTGGGAGACAAAGTGTTCTTTCACTCATATTCATGTAAAAACCTAGTCAGATCCTTTCATTACAGTTGAAAGAGCTGTTCTAAGTGTTTACTTTTTCCAAAGGTCTTAGATGGCAGCCTGAAATAACAACTTGAATGATGGAGGATATCTCCTATTTCAGGTAATTTGTTTCTGTCTTCCACCTCTGCCAGGTAAAGCACCTGTCAGTTGGTTGTGCTCTTCATCACCTCTCTATCCCATATCTGAGGGTGTCATGAGTTTAATCAAGTGGTTGCTGAAATGAACCATCTGAGAGACCCTGTCAAATAGCTCAAACCACTCTGAAGTCTGAGTGTAAACAGTGACAGTAACAACAGTGATGTTTCAAAGGAAAGATGACATTAGATCAAATATATCCCTCATATTAACATGCATTCTTCCAATACAGTTTAAGACCTATGGCCTAATGTGTTAGACAAACATGTTCCATTATCCTGGAGCAAACTACCTGGCTATCTTTACAAGGAAAAGAGAGAATAAACAGCTGTAGATGGCAACGTTTAACAAAATTAAATAACAAAAACAAATAAACACCCAGTTCCACTTTAAAGGACGATGACTTAGAAGTCTTCAGATTCCAAACAAAAAACCTGTAAGGTCAGGCAAACTCCACAGAGTGCTGCAAATTACTTTCACCCATGTTAGCAAATTTATCGTGTGTAACTGCAGCCAGAGAAAAAGGCAGCTATTGCAAACATGAAACAGTGTTAGAGATTTACCTCCTTTCTTTTTTTAAATGTGCAAAATGTAAAACTTTGCTTCATTGGCCATTGGTGGAAGAACTTGTTTGAATAGAAGTAGAATGCAGGGGAATCATCACTAAGACCAAAACTCAGTTTTGAGTAGTTCAAATGAAAGATGTCTTTATCTTACATTCTATAAACTCAATGCTTCCTTCTCTGTGCCTTCTGGAGGACCAGAGAAGAAAGGCAAAGAACGAGGGTGGCATGTAACATTTATAGGCACAAACCTAAGATCAGTCAAGGCCATAAAAATAAGAGCTGTGTCTGACTTCCTTTAATTGGCAAGAACCTTCATTTCTTCCTCTAGCAATGTTCCAATAGCCAGAAAATGTGATAGAGCAGCGAAGACTGTTTATGGTCTTTTGACTTGCTGTTCCAGTTCACTGTTTCACTAATAGGCTAGACATGAACCATTTATACTAGCCTTAAAGAATTTTCTTGAAGAAGAAAATTCTGACCAGAGCACTTAAGAGTGTCAAGATGTTTTATGACAAGGCAGAAGGGGAGCCGGAGGAGAGAGGTGAAATACTTTGAGAGATGCTTTACAATTGTAACACAATCCCAAAATTAAAACATCTAAACACATTTCTTGCAACACCGCAACGTCCTATAACTCACTCACAAGCATCTTAACCTCCCTCTTTATAGAACTCAAGCTTCAGATATAAAAAGCTTAGGAAATTAAGCAGGCCAAATTTATCCCTGATGCAATCCTATTATCTGCAGACATATTTAGGTTATTTTGTTAATCTCATTCCTTTCTCTGCCTTTTTCCCTAAATACATTTTAAAATAATCAGGTTTACTGCTCCTTCATAGATGGTGCAACAGCAACTGTTTAAATGCTATGAGATTTTTTTTTTAGATTTCTCATGACAGACATGACTGCAAAGGATTTCAAAACAAACAGGCAATTCTGAAAGTCTTACTTCCATGTATGCATAGAGTAAAACATAGCTGGTTTCTATTTTAAACTCTCACCATATAACAGGATGATCTGTGATATGTCCTTTAAATGCTTGTTGGAAATCACACGGAATGTATTTTCTACTTTGATTTCATGCTTGTATCTAGAATGAATATGCTAGAATATTCTAGAATCTAGAATAAACCTCATAACCAATTTCAGAAGTTTTCCTTAAGGCAACAGATGACTTCTGCCATTTTTCTAGGAGCTCATTTTCAACTAGATGACTGTAATATAAGTTCTTTATGATGACCATGCACCCCGATAAGGGTAGATACTTTCTGCATTTGCGCCTCTTTTGTCACAATCACCTTCACTAATTATGGTAGCCTTATTACATACAGGTGGTCTCCCATGGACTTTTGCCAACTGTATTTAGTACCTAAAGCACTTTTTCTCTTGTCAAAATGGTATGTTATCAAGCACGTTTACTACTTACGCCTTCAGACAAAGGACTGTTTGAAGAGTTTTATAAAGATGGGTACAGAAATGGAAAAAGGGGAATAATTCTATTAGCCATTTCAGACCCACACAAGTGACAGTCTTTTCTAATATTTCACAGATACGTGTAGGTACACATATATGCATACTTAATCCTTTTCTCCACACAGAAACATCATTTATAAGGCATCTAGCACAAAAAGTATTGTCTATGTAAAGAAAGAAAGCTTCCTGGCACTACAGTAATACAAATAAAGAGCAGGCCACACAAGGCAATGTGAGTAAATGGGAATTCTTACAAACCCTCAGTGAATGAAAAAAAAACCTAAAGTCAACTTTCTCTCCTTAAAAATCCCTTTCAAGTGCCATTTATTGTAACAATGCACTGATTGGCACAAAATAGGCCATGTTAAGTTTCTTATCTTGACATAGTAAGCATCACTTGAACTATGTGTTACGTTTGGCAAAGCTTTTCCACATCCTATAAGCATACAGATGTAGAAACTTTTTTGTATTATTTGGCATCACTATTTATAACTGTAGTTCGCCAGACTCCAAGGAAGCTTAAATTATTAATATATTCTGACTACTTTTTCCTTACCCTCACATCCCATTAGGAATGGTTCTAGTAAGAAACTGGTTTAGACTTAAACTATAAAGTGTATCCTGAAAATTTTTTTCACTTCTCTGAGGCAATTGCCTCACAGCACTGCAATGCTGAGAACTCTTAAGTGCATTCTTCCTCCTTTGCAAGGCTGAGCCATCTTGGGTATTTAATAATATCCCTCAAAAACTATTCATTTAGTAGAGATTATGTATTCATTTAATGGAGATTATGAATTTACTGAACCCAGAACAGACAATACTGTAAAAGAGTACAGGGTAAAACATCCTCCAAACAAAGAGAATTGAAATGTAATAGTTTAAAACATAGTATCTGTTTTCTCCATGTTGTAACACCACTGACTCTTCACAAGCTAAACATTAAGCCAAGATAAAAGGTTTTCTCTTTTCTATTTTCATTCATTCCAGGACACTGAAAATCAATTAATTCTTTGTAAAAGAACAAAGAACTGTCTGCAGTATGAGGTACCAATAGCTGGAGTGATGAAAGGCCAGACCTATTGCTTCAAAGGAAAGAAATATTGAAACCAAAAGGTGAACTTACTCATCTTCGGCTACAGAACAAAACCAGAAAAGGTCGCAAGCGTGTGATGGTAATTGCCTACGGTATATGGGAGTCTGAGCACTGGCCTTAAAGAAGGCTGAACTCACATGGCCAAAAATCAGGCTACCGGTTTCCTGTGTTTCTAAAGCAGTTTGATTTGACTTGTCATTATAACAATGTAGGTCAGCTTCATAATTGTCTCATGTGGTTATACAACTAGGCATGGGAATGCAGTATGGGCATAGTCTTTGACAAATAGAGCTTTATCACAGAGTTTAAGTTGAGAACAGAAAGAAAATGTTGAGGAAGATTTTATTGTACTATAAAATACTATTTTTATACAAAAACCTTCACTGAAAGGTACAACATGAAATCTAAGACTGTCTGATTTTCCTGTAGATATAGCATATCTTTGTCATTGGTAATCCTCTGCCAATCAAGTAAATTATTTCCCTGCTCAATATTCACATTACTGCATATGATACGCAAAAAAGTATTAAACAGAACAACCCTATGAAAGGTGAGGTGTGAATGATGACTACTTCTGAATTCACACCACAAGTAAAAATGTTACTTTGGACCAAACACAAACCCCACATTTCAAGCAATCTTCCCACTGCTCTGAACAAAAAGGATGAAAGTAATGGACGACACTTGGGGAACCAGGCCAGAAACAGAGATAATATCCAGGTCTAACCTTCCAGTTGTACATTCTTACTCCTTTAATGCTTAATTTGTTTATAATTTGACAACTAATCTCTTGCAGACTGGAACAATGTGCCTTTTAGCCTTGAAGTTTCCTCTGATTTTGCTAACAGCATAATGCAAATGTGTGATAGGTGAATAAATTTTATGCATTATTTTTGTTTAATGGATAGTCACATTCGTCTGTATTTAACCTTTTTTTACCTCAAAGATACTGAAGTTTATTTATGATTAAATAGCAAATGTTAAAGTAAAGAAATAATTTTCCTTTAAATAAATATTTTTTTCTCCTAGCTAAATAAATTTTACTATGGACTTCTGCTATTAGACAGCTCTGCCTAAGCTAATGAGAATATTTCTTTTGTATATTAAAAAAATCCCAAACATATAAATGTTTATATAGAGACATACAGATGCTCATACACTACTGCAGCCTAACTAATGTAAACCAGGAAGGCTGATCCTAACTTGTGTTGAGCATAAAAGCAGTACCCACTTAAATTCTAAAATAAGGATTTAACAGCATGTTAACCTTGTATTAGTCCTCTTCACTAATACAAATTTAACCCAGCACTGGAGGATGCACAAAGAAACTGATTAAATGTTTTACTTACACGCAGAACTCCCCCTTACAAGAGGACACAAGTGGATTGATGATGCTCTCATACTTCCAGATGAACAACTAGCAAGGTATCAAGGGTCAAACTTTTGAGTTCTATGCAGAACAATGAGAAATAAGTCCTTTTTTCCCCCAACAGCAAAATGTATGTAAAATATTTTTATCCTGACTATAGAATACCACACTTGGTTGTTATCTGAAGCTAAAACAAGTAAGAGTGAGTTTTGAATGGGACCTTCTAAAGCAGAAGGGCTGTAATTATTTCTCCTGAATGTTAAATATCATTAATGTTCAGAGGTAAAGATAACATCCTGAGAGATGAGCAATCTTTGGATGAGCTTCTGATTTTGGTATGATATGGCTGGTATTGCTGGTACGCCTCCCAGGTCTAACTGTCATTGCCTTTCCAAGGGGTTGGTTGGGCAAAGCTCTGTGCTGCAGTTTCCTCACTGCAGAAGTTCAGATCCCTAGAAACATTCTTACAGTTGTTTGTAAGAGCTGTCACCTTTTTATTCAGTACAACCTCCTGGGGAGAGCCCACAGATTTAAGTGAAATTCTATATAAAAGAAAGCAGGCTATGTGCCTAGAAGTGAAGAATCATCCCCCATATTATTGATTAATACCTAGCAGACACACTATAAATGAGGTATAATTTATCAGGACACAGTGACAGTCTTTGCTTTCTTAAAGCTCATCTTCTATTCACTCTTCCAACTTCCTTTTGGCTAAAACAATTTCTTGAGTTCGTCTTCAGCCAAGTGTCATCTGTTCTCTCCCATAATCGTTACCCTTCTCGCTAATTAGTCAGGTTTAGCTTCCTCCTGTTACACACTTAATTAACTTCTCCACCTTTGGAAAGGTAATTTCCCCTGAACGAATTGCTATCATGACTGTTTCATACAATGAACTAGTTCTAAGTATAGTCTTTGAATGAAGCAAGTCTGTTAAGAAAGATACAGAGGACTTTCTGAAAGCGAACTGGCCCTGCAGGGGTGGCAAAGACAACCGTGCAGAGAAAAACCACAATATGAAAACACTTTTCTGTTGTACCACCATCAGGTAGTACAGGAGGTACAGGCTGGCTAACGTAAGAAAGAGACAAAGAATAGCTATTGTGTGTGTTACATGCTATCCTCCAACATTCATCCAGTCAGTCTGTAGTCTTTAAATGCTTTTACCTGCATAATAACAGTGAGTCTAACCGAGATTTGCCACACTGCTTCCATTGAACACACACGTAGCAACAAAAGCACTTCTGCTGAAAGGTTCTACTTGACAGACAAGACAAAGAATGAGATGGCAACACAGCAATAAGCAGAGGTAAATCAAGTAGTCACAGCTTAAATGAATGGCAAATCATTAGTACAGACCAGAATATAAGTCTCTGGATTTCCGCCTCAATCTCTTACTCGACATAAACTGCTGCCTATCAGGACATTACTGAATTCTTGCTAACAGTAATCTCATAAAGAGGACAGATATCTAGTTATTCTTCATATTACTTACTCCTTCTAAGTGATAAAACAAATTAAAGTCAGGCACGTTTTATTGATAAATATTTATGCAACTACTTATGGACTTACAATGCCCAGCCTAGATTTACTGTGAAGTGTTGAAACTGCTTCTGAAATGAAGAGGAAAAAAAGAATTAAAAAAATAAAGAGCCACAACCAACCAAACCACCACAGCAAACCCAAAACCAAATCAAAGTAACAACCAAAAAAAAGCCAAAAAACAATCCAAAATAAACCCCACAAAACCAACCGACCAAAACATCATTCATGTGAGTTCCCTTTGCAGAACTCATCATTGGCACCATAAAGCAGAAGGCACCAAAATCAGAAGATGTAAAGATCATAAATGCCATGACTTGAATATTAGCTTCCCAAAAAAGACAAATACTCCCACTCATTAGTTGTGCTATAAGGAAAACACTTATTTTGGTCAGAGAAATTATAGCAGTTTTTTAGATACTGCATTAATTCTAAAAACTAACAGCCTATCTGGAAGAATGCATGTAAGCAAATCTTCGATTTGGTTTGTATCACACTCACTAGCTTCTTGCCTTTGGCCAATTAATGCTAACAGTGGAGAAATATGAATGGCATAATACCTGAGTAACATTTATCTTCTCGACAGAGATTAGGAGCAAATAATGCATGCAAGACCTCCTTGGATTCACACATTAGATCATTATTATGTTTATTTTTCATTGTTAGCACTTGTTATTCAAGTAAGCTAGAAAATGATTGCTTCATAGAATTTAAATGTTCATTCTGAGTAGAGCATCAAACGTTACGTGCCTGAAAAATGTTTCTTTATTAGCACTAATCTGTTCCTTAATTCCTTTACTTCCACTTCAGCTCTGGCCTGCTATGTTGCTCCAATAACCATTGTCCTCTGACCACTTGTTAAAAACAAGTTGCGCTTCACAAGTGAGCGATGCTCGGAGGTATGAGGTATTACAGCTACAAATGGGCTTTACCTTCTGGTACTTGGTCTTTTGCGTGATGTAAATTACATACATAGTGTGATTACAACAAAAGAAACCGGTCATTATTTCACTATTCTCATGGTCCTGCTGCCTCTTTTGTCAATGTTTTGCAAACACACACACTCCCTACTTGCTGTCAGGGAAAATTGTTGCATTTGTCAATTTTTTTACTCTTCTAATTTCCTCAGAAGGCTCATGAATCAAGTAAGCTTTTCTTGGCTTCCTATAACAAAAAAGAGAGCAATACAGCATTTTCAGTTGCTGCTGTATTAGAAATCTTAATAAATGAGGTCTGAAAATGTTCAGACATCAAAAGCAGTACCTGTTATAGAACATGATTCATTCATATAGGAACTCAGGCATCTATTGAAACACCGTGGAGACTAATAATGCCTGGGAGATCAGACAAACCCCCTGAGGTTCATACATATCATGAACTCCCATTTGGTTTAGGAAATTCCCAAACGTCAAATACTTAAAAGCCGTGAAAGTACTGGGGATGTATCTTATAATGCTCTTGTCCTTCCTGGTTGCTATCTGAGACAGGCTTCTGGTAAAGCAGGATAAAGTATTAGCCATTCTCCTATTCTTAGTGGAGCAACATATCAAGAGATGCAGTGGATTCTCTATGCATGAGCTCTTTGAAATAAAAATGAGAAGACTTTCCAGCAGAAGTATTCTGGCACATAACTGTGCCATTTACACTATGAGCTCTGGAAACTGGAGGATATAACTGATGCTCATGGTGCCCACTCACTTCTCCACTTCCTACCTGCAGAAAAAGGTTTGCTTTTGATGGAAATCACATATATACTCCAGTATAACTGTGTATCCAGAACAGGGTCTAGATGTTTAGATTACCCAGTGTCTCTACTGCATGTGCCCCTTTTCCTTATAACACTACTGCCTGATAAATGCACCATGACATCTCATATGACACCAAAAAAAGCACCGAAAGACAAGTCAAGAAAGACCCTACATTCAGATTTTCAGCCTCAATGTAACTATGAAGGCCACCAATTTGAGATACTCATCAGAAAATTAGCTTGGAGGTTTCAGAAAAGGAATTGCTATACTGAACATCATGATGTTATTTTCTCTATTCCTTCTCCTATGAAACAACATGACAGTCTGTGGGAATCCAGCAGGGAATGAGAGGTTGAGTTCAGGA